CAACGCAAGCCAGCAACAACTTGTGCTCCGAAGGCACCATTTGCTGCAAGCGAGCCGAAGCAAAACGGTACTTCATCGCAACGTCTATCATGAAGAAGTTCAAGTTGATAGAAATGTGCAGAAAAAACATATATAACGGTTAATCATAAGATTGACTATGTTATATGCTTTGTGTAAAATAAATAACTTGAACGATATTTTTCCGCACAAAAATTAAATCTACGGAAAAGTTTTGGAGCGGCCTTCATCACACAGAGCAAAAAAAGACTGATACTGAGTTTGGCCAAGCTATCGAATTCGCCGCTAAATCGTAGCAACAAAGTTCGTCACAAAATCATGACAAATTGCGGACACGGCAAAATAAAATTCTGTCAAAATACAGAAAATTGAACAAATATAACAAAGTTAGATTAAATTAAATTAGCGTAAAAGCAGAGCACCTGAAGATGAGGCGAAGAATTTACATATCCGGTGACAAAACACTTACGAAATTATGTCATGTATCACCTGGACCTGGTAAAATTCGTGGTAGGGATAAAGTCATCTGCAGCTGATTTTTAGCTGCTAGTGAGTAACAGCGAGATTAAGTAATTAGAGAGCTCATGGCTTAAAACTGTTCCACTAATGCAGGTGACTTATTATCAAGCTAACACCATCGACAAATAAATTGCAAGATTAGTCTGATATAATCCGAAACTTCAGTAGCGGCTTATTCATCCGTTCCGTTTAAATCAGCCTAATTTTTCAGGGCTTTTATAAGGATTAGTTTTCCAGGAACGGAAATTTTATTAACGTATTTGCTTGCAAAATTTGACTATAAACTGAAATTGTATTAACTGCATTTATTATCGAACCATTGAGTCTGATCTTTGGCATAAGCGTTAACCATACCTGATCATATAACCTACAGGCTAAGACTGAACGTCTGATGTGACAATAACCGTCCGTTCAGTGATTGGTTTGGTTTTCCAAGGGAGCTTGTTTATTATGGCTGTTTGTTATGGATAACTCCAGCAGTATTTTACAATTATGATTGATTTCGTACTTATAGTGGTGTATTTTTAGCTGTTGATATAGCTTAAGGTTAAGTTTCACGCAGTAGTGTCTCAAACTGTGTGTGTCTGCAACAGTTTCATAATTTCCTAATTTCGATTTTTCTCTGAGGTACGTGTGTAGAATTAAGCATTTTCTATCTTGTGTGGTAGTGGTATATTTTAAAACTTTGAAGTTGGTGCAGATGACGGTTCGTTACTGTTCGTTTGGATGTGTCAGCCAATGTATCGGCAAATTTACCATACTTGCGTCGACGAGCTCTATGGTTTTGCACATCTTTTGCAGGCTTCTAAACGGAATGTTAGACTTAACTGAAGCTCTTTACTACAGAATCACGGTTTTTGAACAAGCAGCCCTAACCAAGGAACTACTTGGGATTGCCTAATCAAACTCGGGTATTTATTTTGCGTCAGGTATTATGCGCTGAGGAATTTCTTGTTTCGCATTTTTGTTTCGGTCATTGCGGAAGGTACGTATGCCAGGATTTCACCAGTTTGAATTAATAACTCAAATTTGATTCCAAAATCGAAACCGCTTTTCATGAATCTGTTTTTTTTTATATTAGATGATTATTGAATGGTAACATGGTGCGCGGTTTTATCCCGTAGAAGCATGGCGCGTGATGCCGTTGTTTCAACAGTTAGGGCCATCATTTTGCGTTGTACTACCTGCACTGTACTTAAATTTCTGTCATGAATTACCCTGTTAGTCACTTATGTCCTAATTTAATTTTGATCTTTGTGAAGACATCGAAATAACGACGATGACATGTCAACTCTCCTCCTAGAGCCTATTCGAAATTGTGTGTTAACAAAATCAACGGAGTGCATCAGCTACATTAAAATTCATTTTTCTTTTTCTGTATGCGCGATAGAATAGCTGCAGTAAGTCCAGTACAGGTTTGGCGTTTCCGTGTATTTATGTACTTACAGTAGCCTAAGTTATCGTCGGACAGAAGGCTGAACTGGTGTAGGGGTGTTCTATTTTTCTTTAGGAAATATGTCTGTAGGATTCGATTTGTTGTGTAATGAGTCCGCATTTAATAAGCTGTTCAAACAAGTGACGCACTCTGTTGCCAAAAAAAGCAGTGAAACCGCTATTGCTGATGCGTCAACGAAAGTGATGAGTTAGTGAGGAAGAATTTAAGTTTCGTTTCATGCTTTGCACAAATTTCGCAGTCAGTCGTATGTCAACAAAATTTGAGAACTGTAGTGGCAAATATGATTTAAATCAGGCATCTTTTAATACTATTATTTATCTATCCTGATTTGTGTTGTTGGG